TAGTGAGCTTCCTTGAGGAAACCCTGCTTATGCTCAACCACGATAGACCGTTCGGTTTCCTCCAGCTTCTTCTCCAGCACCGCCCTCTCCGCCTCCTGCTTCGCCAACTCCACTCTCATTGCGGCGACCTCCTCTTCTTTGCCACCAACGATGACCTCATCGCAGAGGCGCTTCTCAACTGCCGCCACCAGCTTGCTCTTCAGGGAAGTCACCTCATCCTCCAAAGAGAGAACTCGACCACGGGAAGACGTCACCTCGTCTTCCAAGAAACGCACCTGACCTCGAGACGAGGCAGCGAGCCCCTGCAGCTCGTTCACCTGGGAGGCGTAATTCTCGTTGGAGCGCAGGGCGATCTCCAGCGACTTTTGGACCCTCGCCAAGTCTCCCCTCGCAGCTCGAAGCTTAGCACCCTACAACTTCGCTTCACCGAGGGCGGCACTAAGAACCTTGTTCTCCTCCTTCAAGACCTTGTTTTCGTCCCTCAAGGTGATGGAACTAGTTGAAGTAGATTGTGATTTCTTCAATAGCTCCATGCTTGGACCGAATGCCTCTTGAGGTTGACACTTGAAAATCTCTGAAATCTCCTTTGAAGTGTTCTTCAATGGAGAAGAAGTCTTGATAGGGATTCGGTTACTTCAAGCTTGAAGTAGAAGCTTGATGAACCAAGGCAAGGTTTGAATGAACCTTGAAGGAAACCTTAGAGAGAGAGTTCTCCACGGTTCTAAGGACTCTTGAGTGAGAGAGAAATCTGATTTCTATTCTCATAAATCTTCAAAAGTGAGTACAAGAGTAGGAAAATCAAATATATAGGGGAAGGTAGCTTGTAGGAGAAGCTAACCTTAACCATGGTTCACTAGGAACCATGGTAGGGTTAACTTAAACTCCCACGGTTTAGCTAGCTTGTAGGAGAAGCTAACCTTGACCATGGTTCACTTAAGAACCATGGTAAGGTGAGCTAACCTTACTTGAGTTTAGAAGCTTGCAAGACAAGCTTCAAAACTCAAGAAGGAAACTTAGAAATTTCGGCCAAGTGAGAACTAGTAAGCTAGGCGGCCTTGAACCAAAATTGCTCCATGAATTATTTTGAAAATCTTTGATTTGGTTTAGTTAGGTTCATCATATGATGATGAGACCTAGCTAAATCAAATCTATGAAAAATTAGGAGCAAAATGAGTCCAATATGTAAAATTTTGCCTAGGCCCAACTCAGGCCCAATTTCTAAGCACACCCTCAAGCATTGCTAAATGTCACCCCCTTTTCCCTACTGAAAAAATACAAAATGAAAGTATCAACTAGGGAGGTTAAATGGAGTTAAACTCTCCAAGTAACCTACCTCAAAATCAATATACAAACACTAAGATAAGCAAATAGAGTGCCTCACAAATACAAAGGCAAAAATGACCTATACAAAAGACTATGTATAAA